GTGGCAATGGTTCCTTCTCAATGGCTTGTATTCCCAAATGTCGTTTGATAGATTCACCTCGATACTTTCTACCTGAGCAATTAAGGAGGAAGAATTCCTTCTCTGAATGCAGGTTCTGAAAATTGAAACAAGTTACTCTAGGACTTTGTCAGAGTTATGGAGGGATTTTTGTTGTTAAAATTTTTTTTCTAAACGTTTTCTCCTTTATTGTCTCATTTTATCCTCTCATAGCCCATGTGAGGTAGTTAGAAGACATACAATCCCCATGGGTTAGATTTAGAAACAGAGGCTGTGTGCAGTTGTATGATGGCGTGCAACCCAAAGAGAAAGTGAGGCACATAGTTACAAAATGGAGATTTCAGTTGAGGTATCTTGCTTGCCAATCTGATGCTGAACACACATCTTCCTGCTCCTCTATGGGTCAAAACTCTACTCAAAGGAAAAATAAACCAGCCTCTAATATGGTTTTGCTATGAGCATGTCATACTGCTGTGTGCACTTGATGTTTGATTCCTCAGCATTCATTCCTCTCTTATTCAGGAATCCACCCTTTCCCCTTCCTTGATCCATACGATTGAGATGGGCTCCCTTCCTAGCAGGAAAGAGCACATGACTTCTACCCTTGGAAGAGAGGTGGGGTCTGGGGTTTCACCCACAACCTTGGGAGTGCTTGAGAACGGATTAACTCAGAGGAAGCAAAACCAAGGAAAGCAGAGTAAGAAGCCATTTCAGCTTCTGGAACAAGCCATACCTGAAACCCACTACCTCTAAACTGTTTATTGCATGAAGCAATACATGTATATATGGTTATATAGAATTATTTTTGCTCAAAGTATCTTGCGTTAGTTCTTTGTTCTTTTCTTCTTGGTGGGGGGAGGGGGATACTTGCAAAGAAAAAAAAATCCTAACAGGTACATTTATTCAAATAAATCCTCATATTTCTCTTTCAAATTCGAAGAGCCATAACATCCTTACCCAGTGAGTTGCAGTTATGCAGACATGGAGGTTTTTGTCTTGAATTTATGCAAAGTTTCTCTCCTGCGTTCTCCCTAAGTGAAGTCATTGTGTTGACACAGACAACATCTGTTTTTCAACTATACAAATGCTGGCTTTGCCCTGCGGTTGGGAGAGGGTCTTCACCACCCACATCTACTGTTACTGCCATAGGTGCTCATGGAATCTAAGACAACACTAGGGGTGGCAAAGGTATTTTCACATAGTGAGGAAAACTGGTCCAAACAACAGAGCTGTTGATCCAAACCATTGTTATCCAAAAGGCTTTCCAAATTTCTTTCTTCTCTAGCTAGCGCCTCCTCTACATTGCCAGCAGAATATTCTTTCTAAAGTAGAGATTTCTTCATTTATTTCTGTGCTTTAAAAATCCATCACAGTGCTCGCTTCGGCAGCACATGTACTAAAATTGGAATGATACAGAGAAGATTAGCATGGCCCCTGCGCAAGGATGACACGCAAATTCGTGAAGCGTTCCATATTTAAAAAAAAAATCCATTACAAAGGGGAAAAGAGTAACCACAGTGGAGAAACCTGGCAAGTACAACCTTGGCTAGGTGATCAAGGCCAGAAGTCCTGCTGAAAGTACCTACTGTTGATATGATGTGATGAGAATGGTACTTTATCTATGTGGTCTTCCTCCCATAAACCATACCCCCAGTCTAATCATGAGAAAAAGATCAGACAAGTCCCAGAAGATGTGCAACCTACAATATGCCTGACCGGTACTCCTCAAAACTGTCAAGATCGTCAAAAACAAGGATAATGTGAGCAACTCACAGCCATGAGGAGCCTAAGGGGACATGACAACTAAATGTCATGTGGTACCTGGATGAGATCCTGGAACAGAAAAAGGACATTAGGTAAAAACTAAGGAAATCGGAATGAGGCATAGACATTAGTTAATAACCATGCATCAAATGGCGGTTCAATTGGTGACAGCTGCACCGTACTAATAAAAGATCTAATAACAGAGGAAATGCTGTGTGTGTGGGGAGGGAGCTTATATGAGAGCTCTCTGCACTACCTGCTCATTTTTTTTTATAGGCCTAAGACTGTTCTAAAAATTAAAGTCTATTAAAAATAAAGTTTATTTAAAAATCCATTGCTGGATGGATGTCTGTTCCTGCAGGAGGTTTTCCTAAAATTCAGAGATCAAAGCGGCTCCTTGAAATGATTTTAGGTGGTTCACAGACAAAGTCTTAAATAACCCTGAACCACACAATTAAATATTCCTCCATTGATCATTTTCCAATCTTTCTGATTCAGTAACAAAGAGAAATCTCCAGGTTAGCCTTAGAAACACTTCTCTAATCTTTGCCAGCCTCACTATTTAACAATAAAGAGAAAGCTTTAGGCTCAGAACTTTGTTTTCATTATTTTTTCATTATTATTATTGTTCTTACATTTGATGGTCTCTAGTACTGAAAATGATCCTTCTTTCTCATGTATGATAGTGGTGTTTTTTTCTTAAAGTACACTTATTTAAATAAAAATGTGAGCCCATTTAATTTTTAAAGTGACTTAATGATAATGACATATTGCCTTCAGATATAGCAAAAATCAGGAAACTTGTATTGAAATCACTGAAGTAGAGAACCAATAGCCATCAGCATTATGTCCATGCCCCTCAGCATAGCACTCAAGGCCCTCTCTCACCTGGGGACACCTGTCTAGTCTCTTGTCACCAGGTATTTCACCCTGCAAACCAAAGAATGCCCACCTAGGAGGTCAGAGGTGCTGATGTCCAGACACTGAGGACTTAGAAGAAATTAGACATGCCCATGGATAGCACGTTTAAATCCAATGTACTACGCTTTGTCTGGACTCCCTTTTCATCTGTGGCTTGATCCATTGCCATTCTCTCATAATATTGGTCAACTTGTGGCATTGATGAAACAACTGATTCCTTTTAGCTTCTGTGAGCTCTATAGGCATGGTAGAGACCAAACCTGCAACACAGTAGCCCTGCTGGGCGGGTGCGAGTGGGACCTGAACCCCAGCCTCATACGTCTCCTCCCATCTGACCTGGGGCCTGAGGCGTCCCGAAACAGAGGAGCTTGCTGAGCACTGGGTTCCAAGCCTGGCTCCATCTGGGGGACCCTGGGTGAGATACATAAGCTCCCTGGACCCCCTTTCCCTTGTCTGTAAAGTGAGGATAATAATAATACCTGCTAATGGGATCAATGCGAGGATAAATGAGCTCACATAAGCACAGCACTTAGCTCAACGCTGGTACCAAAGAAATGCTCTATAAATACGTGCTGCTGGTGGTCCTCTCTGTGGGCCCCATTTCCCTCACTGTAAAGTGTGGGTCATGACAGTACCCACTTCATGGGACTGTTGTCAGGAATAACCGAGTCGATGCACATTAGTCCTTAGAGCCATGGCCTGGCTCCTAGCAAACACTCAGCATTCAGTTATTTGTTTTATCTGTGTTTACTTGTTACTAGCATGATGAATATTATGGATTAGCAGTTCCAAAAGTTAGAATGTCTCTCCAGTTTTTTTGTACCAGCAATTCACAGATACTAGATGTAGTCAAGGTAGATTTTTAAGGTCAAAACCTCAGGTTGTACTACAATTGAGTCTGTCTTAAGGTATGGACTGACTTCAGTGGAGTTCAGCGGTGTGTGGCCTGGTGCCTTTCTCACCAAAAGCACTGGATTGTGGATAAAGCAGCGGAGGTTCTGTCTGGCCAGCTGGGTTTATATAATCAGGCCTGGATGCAAGACGGCTGCTTCAGGAAATTCTATGAGGTAAGACATTCTTGTCCAACAAAAGCTCTTTTTCTACGAAAAGGCAAATAATGAAATGGGCATTTCTAGTCGGCCCAAAATGTGCCTGACTGAGAATTTCACACCCGGTGGCTTTGAGTCCATCAAGTACAGAAACCAAATGATATGTCCCCTATGTTGTTAAGGGCCAACTGAGGAGAGATTTTGTCCCATGTTCTCCTCCCTGGGGGAGCCTTCAGGGACACATATTCCTGTTTCCGGAGCTCTGGGGACAGCCTTGGATTGCAATGAACTTACCATGTATGCAATGAACTTACCACTTCTGGCTGGATCTCAGTTTCCCCAACTGCAAAATGAAGTTATTGGATTACATGGCATCTAGCTCTGATTGGATTACGTGTTCTAGCTCTGATAACCAATCACTCTTTGATTTCAATAATGCTCAGAATTGGTAACTCATTTCCTGCAACATAATTCAAACCTTTAAAGAAACCAGGAGCTGGTTCTCCACTGTGACCCACAGGTGGGCTGCGAAGACTGGTGAGCCCTTTTGTGGACAATTTTCTGTATGTTTCTGGATGATTTTGTGTGTGGATCCAAGTAATGACAGGGCTAGTTATTATTTCTGCATGCCCGGCATTCTTGTCCCTCTCGTTTAGAATACAGCCCGTTTTCTTCCCCTTGGAAAATGCCTCTCCCACATCCAGTGGAGCTGTCAATCACCTTCCCAACTCCCTGGAATGAAGTAATTGTATGCATGATCCAAAAAGGAACAATAAGAGTCCCTTTAGGGGGCTGATAAGGATGCTGGGTAAGAAAAGGGCTCTCCCTAAAATCCAAGAACCCTCAAAGCTGTTGGGAGTCATCTTTGCCACCAAGAGGAGAGAACCTAGCAGAGGCTGACATCAACCCATGGCAAGTGCAAAGGAAACAGAGAAAAGGAGAAATGGAGAAAGGGATGGAGAGAGACAGAGAAAAGCAAACAAGGAAAGAAGAAGGGAAGGGGGAAGGGAGATACCTCCAATGACTTCATTTCTTAATAGGAACCTCTAGATCCAGCTACGCATAAACAGAAATTTATGCCTTAGCTATTCTTGAAAAGTTAGTCCACAATTCCCTCCCCCCCTCCCAGCCCCCACTTGTTTTTCTTCTTTCTTCTAGTTCATAGGTTCTTCGAATGGGGATCCATGACCCAAAAAAGATTAGAAACCACCACAATTGGAGCATGTGTTAGAGGTGGAATGAACTTACTTCAGAAAGAAACAGAGTTTATTTGATGAATATAAATAAGGTGACCAGCACAAAGAACTTCTCATACACAGGATAACAAATTTATGAACTGTACATACCTTGTACATCGTACTTCTACTAGACACGAGGTTACAATGACTGGCTAATACATGCCCACTGGTAGTTTCTGAGGGTTCCTTAGTTTTTTGTTTTTTTTCATATCGAAGTCCATAATCACATGGTCAATATCACAACCCACATGCCACTCACTTGAAGAAATATTACAAGAAGCACTATCAAACGAGGGTCTCTGGGAATTAGATACACTGACCCCTGGCAGCATTCAAACGCCACTCGACACAAAAACATCTCAGATAGAGCTTATGTCAACACATTTGAGGTCTTGTCATAAACACTGTTTAACAAGTAAATTGAAACCCACTTTCAAATGAAAGTTGACACGCTGTTAACGTGCATACTGGATACACAAAAAATCATTAAATACAAAATCGAGACTGTACATCGAAATCAAGTCGGGTATAAAGTATAAGCCTGCTTTTGCACTAAGCAAGAACACTAACTTCTCCCAAATGTTAGCCTCAACGTCTTTTTTTTTTCTCAACTTCATTATGATTTAAGGGGAATCTGCTCAAGTTTGAGCGAAGGAAATATCGTCCCAACATCACAGTGTTTGTTGTAAACCCAGAGACTATTTTTAATAGATGAAAAGGGAATTTTACGTAACCCCCAAACATCAGAGAATATTACATGAAATGGAAAAAGGTACTATGTTAGAATTTAATTTTTCAGGGACGAAATGATATGCCCCCATAAAGGTAAGATCAACAATATTTCTAACCAACAAAAGTGGGGCAAAAAAAATGATCCCCCAAACAATAGCAGTGACAAAATTGGCACATACTTAGAAATAGCTAACTATACACAGTTGGTCACTTTTTTCTGTTTTGAGGACCCTATTTTCCCTAGTGGATTTCCTACTTCCTACTTCAAGTATCGAGTTGCAGAGTTCGGGTCAGGACTTGGCTGTAGGAGGCAGTAAGGGCTGCCTGTTTGAGGACACCCAAACTGTCATGGGGGCACCTTTGTGGCCTGGGTTTTCAGTGTGACATTGTGTCAAAAATGTGCTCAATATGCTTGCAAAGAACTCTGCTCATTTTTCCAGTCAAGACCTACACCCCTTTGATAATTAAAGGACAAACTTTTAAACACAAATGTATTTGGATGGTCTACGCAACACAGAAGCTTTACATAGCTTGCTATACTTACGACAAGAACAAAGCCAGAAGCAAGAGACCTGCTTGAACTATATTATCGTAATGCACCAAGGATAAACAGTGCAACTCATACACAGCTTTGTCTTTCCTGAAAAATAAGATGTCTGTCTTTTAAATATCGCTATGGCTCACGGGAGAGGTCCAGAGTTAATTGCACCAACATTTTAAAAAGCAATAATAATGACTGAATTCAATGCAAGACTTCAGGAATATCTGTTTAGAATCCTTTCCACAGCAGCAAAGAAAGACAACTATATTTATTAAGGCCACTCATGCTTAAATTCACTGTTTGTCCTTTAAAAATGCAGATTTTCATCTCCCACTTGCATACACGTGGAAGGGTTTCTTCCACTGACAGGAAAATGGATCAATACAAGAGTTGCACATGTTTGCCAGACTTGGTCATGAGTTTTATGACATTATAACACTTTATTATTATTATTTTTAATCTTCAGAGGAAGCAGTAGGAGTTTAATTCTCCTTAGTACCATGTCACTGTATGTACAAGACCTCAAAATTTGGTCTTTTCCCCTGGCATGTGCTTTAAATAATGACTGTACCCACAAACGTGTTGTGTAGAGCTATATACAGATACACAGCTTTTGTGATTATTCCTCATTCATCAATGTTTTCATGTTTGATGCTGAAAATGCTTTGGAATCTATGTTGGAGACATTTTAAAAGAAAATTGAGAAATGACCTTTCATTTACACGTCTCAGCTTACACTGTTGCACAGCATGTGGATCTTAAAAAGTGTATGAGTCCCAGCATCTTCATGGAGACCTGCACGTATGGGAATGGTAAGAGTCGGAGGCTTGCTCACATCCCAGCCGTGGGGATGCAGGGGACATATGGAACAGAAATGTGCAGGGGCCTCAGGCTTTTGCCACTCTCCAATATGAAAACAGGGCAGATAAAATTATGAATGATCAATTTAGATGCACCATGCATTGTCAGAGACACACACCACGTTCTCATAAGGCGATTTCTTGGCAAGTATTAGTGGTTTAAAAAATTGATTTCATTTCCAACCTGGCCCAGAGGTAACTACTGGTTACACCATCAAAATGTGGTTCTTCCAAGAGCGGATTAAAGAAACAGAGGAGGGTAAAGGCTCGCCATTTTTGGTGTTTTAGTTTCTTTGACAAACTCTCCATGCATCTTGGTATACAAACACCGCCAACACCACTCACTCACAGAAGTCATACTTTTTGATAATCTAATGCATTAGGAATGGCCACTTAGACTGAACCAGCAGGAAATCTGGAGATGAAGCTAGTTGTCCAATGGAAGCTGAATCCACAGTTAAATCCATGGAGTTCCAACTGATCCAATGATGATATTTACGTAACATAAATAAAATGTTATCAAATAATGACATTCAGAAGAGATGATCAAATTTTAAGTGCCCAAATCCCGACCCCCCCAAAAAAATGGAGGATGTATCATTTTTCTCTTTTTGCCGCATTCTTCCTTTCCAACATAAGAAATGGCATGAGATGACGAAGGAAATACCAAGTCGAACAGAATCGTATTCAGTAATGAAAGTGAGACTCCTCTTCAGTCCTGATGAGCATCCCAGGTGGTGATGGACAGTGATGTACGCCGTACTGCAATAGATTATCAGAATATTGCTGCAGAGCTGCATTTTCCTTTTAGTCAGCCCTTCAGATAGCTGCAACAAGAAAGCACATAATTTAGCATTCCAGTGACTGACAATGATATTGGAGCTACTCCTCACAGATGGTCCCCACTTCACATTCTTGTACCGACCCTCCACCACTTTCTTTGGTTGGGGTTGTTTGGGATTGGCGGTAGGGGTTGGGTGAGGGTAGGGGTGGGGTGGCAAGGAGGAGAATGCGTATAGGAAGGATAAAGTGAACAGAAAGTTAAATTATGTCCTGCCAACACATCTGAGAAGGGGCCTCTTTCAAAATATATCCCATACAGGTATTATTGTAGATGTCTCCTGATAGGCAAAAAGAAATTGAAAAGAATATGCCAACATGTTCCAGCGATTATTTCTTTGTCATCAGATTATGTGTCAGTTTTTCTTCTCCACACTCTTCTACAATGAATATGGTTTCTAAGTTATTTTTTAACTTGACTTTATAGAGATTAGAGAGTTAAAGATGGCCGGTACATCGGAAAACTTAACATTCACTTACTGATCATGTAAGAGCAACAGTTTAAAAGAATACTGGGCCCAGCCATTCCGCATCTCAGTAAGTACCCAGAAGAATAGAAACCAGGGACTCAAACAGATACACCAATGTTCACAGCAGCATTCTTCATAATAATCAAAATGTAGAAACAACATACAATTGTTCATCAACAGATGAATGAATAAACAAAACATGGTATGTACACACCATGGAATATTATTTAGCCCTAAGAAGAAATGAAGTTTCTGACATGTGCTACCTTGAAGACATGCTGAGTGAAATAGCCAGGCACCAAAGGACAAATACTGTACGATTTCACTTACATGAAATATCTAGAATAGATAAAGTCATAGATGCAGAAAATAGATGTGAGGTTACCAGGGGCTCCAGGGGAGGGGAAATGGGGAGTTATGGCTGAATGGGTACAACGGAATTTCTGTTTGGGGTGTAAAAAAGAAACGGATAGTAGTGTTGGTGGTACAACACTGCATATGGACTTATTGTCACTGAACTGTACATTTTAAATTGGTTAAAATGGTACATTTTATGTATCTTTTACCACAATAAAAGCATATTTTAGAAAAGAATATTGATACCTCCTTAAATCGAGCAGAAAGAACCCAAGCTGACTTCTATCCCCCCCACCCCACCCAATGGTGTGCGCATATGCTTAAATCTAAACAGAAGTGCTGCAGTCATGCGTTTGCTTATTTCATGCCCTGAGGAACGGGTATCCAGAGCACTTCCAGCTTTCTCACCGTCCTGGTAAGAGGCCCTGAGTGTGGAATACGACTGCAGCCTGGGAAGAAATAGTAAATTGGGCAAAAAGAGGGGAGCATCCGACCCTTTGGATGATGACTTTCTTCCCTGCTGAGGCTCAGCTCTGTGAGCCTGCATCACTATTATTCACATATGGCCTTTGAATACTTCGGGAGTTTCCGGGCATATGGCGAGAGCGCAGCTATCTGGGGAATATGGCAGGGAGGGGAAAGATCAAACACACACACACACTCACACACGTGTGAGCCACTTTTTATATACAGCCCGAGCTGTCTGATTTGGTGGTTGATACACAGCATTTTTCAAGTCACACTGACTAATGAGCGCGCCAAGGATCCCAATGTCTGCACAGGTAGGAAGTTATTTCAAGCCATCGTTAAACAGTGCTAATGAAATATGTGGCTTGGATGAACTCTGCTAATTCATACTCTGAGGGGTTCGGTGTAACCCTTCTGGTTAAGAAACTTGAATCAGGGCAAAAAAATGACTTTTGCAGAGCCAGAAAGCTAGGGAGTTCCTAGAGCAGATCATATTACTCATTCTGGCACATAAAATCTCTGCAAACTTTTTATGAAAATTGTAAGTCAGAGCACGCTTTCTGCTTCATGAGCTGTGCATAGCTCTAATTCTTTTGTGCATTAAGCATTTCTTAATCATCCTTTTAAAAGGCTGACCAATCTATTAAAAGGGCACATGATTAAAAGGTAAAGAGAAACCCAAAGTAGTGCTAAAATGCACCAGTCATATTTTACAGACGGGAAAATGAGTGAAAAATAATTACAGTGAATGTCCGATGTCCTTGATGTTTTTCCAAGATAAAGTAGCAAAGAACAATCATTTATTCAGTTGAGAGAAAGATTTCCAGCTGGGTAACAGGTCACAAGGCAGAATACAGTGCCTTGCAAACTGCAGTGCACTGTTTTGGGGGTAAGGTTTATGCTGTGGAAAAGAGAAGTCTCAAATAGTATTGCCCCTCCTTCAATCAGACAATCCATTCACCAGGAGGCCTAAATGGGTTGGAGAGGGAAAAAAACTCAAATGACATTGCCAGCAGTTGGAAATGCAGATGATCCCTCCTTGAGGGGGCAAATATGCATATGCTTTAGAAAAAATGAAAAAAGGAATCCTGGTTTCCAGCAGTGAGGCAATCTGGGCAGCCACCCACTGTGAGCTAATGTCTAGCCAGTCCTCCCTCACCGGGATGATCCCAGGAGGCCCCACCTGTCCCCATGCATCCTCTCTGCCAGCACCCAACTCTGCATTCTCATCGGTGTAGCCAACAGTGCTGTTTCAATAACGGTATCTACTTCATCTTACATCCCGCACTGACAGCCTTCCCTTTCAATCCCATTGCCCTAGGGTGGAGGAGGGACGCCTGACCATGCTGGTGACGTCCCATCCGGCCCCTCTCTCTCTCTCCAGCTCCATGCTTCATGTGCCACCTATGCTCTCTTGCTTCTGCAGTCCTAAGGCTTTCTTTTCTCCCATCTCACAAACTTGTCTTTCTGTCTGACGTGCATGTACACCAACCCCGGACCTGATCGACTCCTAGTCATTCTTCAGTCTCAGTTTCGATGTCACTTCTTCCCTGGAAGCCTTTCCTGACCCTCTTGAGTGTAGGATGTAGCACAGGAAGTCTCACACTTACTGCACTGGCCCCTTCTGGTGACTCGTCTAGACTTTTACTGTCGATATGGTAGCCACTGGCCACACTTGCTACTCAGCACTTGAAATATGGCTAGCCCAAATTGAGATGTGCCATAAGTGTAAAATGCACATCAGATTTCAAAGATATACTGTGACATTAGTTTTTTACACTGCTTTTGAATGAATATAAATCAATATATTAAATTTTAGATTTGGTACGAATATCATTTTTTATATTGATTTCATGTTAGAGTGACATTTTGGATGTGTTGGATCAGATTAAATATATCATTAGAATTTATCTCACCTTTCTTATTACTTTTTTTTTTAAGATTTTTATTGGGGAATTGGGGGGATGGGAACAGCGCTGGGGAATTGGGGGAAGGGGAACAGACAAGTTGCTGTC